TCAGGACACCGGTGGGTAGAAGGTGCACAATGAAAACCTGTGACTTTTAGTAACTAAAATGCAGGCTTGTTGGACCCGCTGGCTTGTATACAAGTTTTGGGCAACTTTTAGAGATTTTGCCAAGGCACCCCTGAAAAAACCTTAAGGCACCCCAGGGTGCCTGGAAACCCTGGTTGGGAAAGACTGTTCTACAGTAATATTGATATTCTTACAGCTGTATTCCCTACAGTCACCATTTCATTCTAATTGGTTTTAATTTTATTTTATATTTTGCCATGATATGGATTATCTAATACAGTTTGACAAGGTTCCATAGTTCGCCTATAGTTCTATATATTTTCTTGTGCAGGAGTGCACTTACTTTTGCACTCTTGTGACCCAGAAACAGCCAACAGTGTGCTAAAGTTTGCTGACGGCTGACTTCACAGAACTGCACCAGTCTCTGGGGATCCAGACAGAATCCTGACCGACAGCTGGCTTAGCCTCTCAGCACACCGCTGAGAGGCTAAAAAAAACTTTTGTATTTAGAACTGCTTTAACTCATCCAGTACAACACTGCAATAATCATTTCTTGTAAGAGACACAGAAACCTGCCTATTTTGTGCTAAAACATTATGGTGGATTTACTAAATTTTATCGGTGCCACCGTTAAACCCCCTTATGGGGTAATTTTACATTTTGTCAGATGGTTGTACGGATATGTAATAAAGCAGAGGGTGAGCTTAGTCTTTTAAAAATGCAATAAATATAGATGTTAACCTGTTTGTTTTACAATGCTTTTACGATTAAGATGTGCCATCCATGCACTAAAACTTTCAATCTAGGTATAATTACACATGCTCTTTCCAAGTCTTCTTGTGCTAAGAGGTTAGTATTGACAATTCATAAACTGCTGCTTTTGCAATTTATGCTTGGATAGGATTTCATAGCTTAAAGACAAAAAGGGTCTGACCTAGACCCAAAAAGTAAATGGAATCATAAAATGTATTGTACATTATGAATATACTGCTTTGAAAGAGCAGATGAAATATGCCCAGCATCATTATACCCACTTACTCTAAGCCAAAGGTCTGCAAACTTTCAAAACAATGGGCCAGTTTCCTGCCCTCAAGCTTTACGGGGGCTGGACTGTAGCCAGTGGAAGAAGAAAATGCCAGTATTGGTGTCACGTACCTGGTTGGGGAGCCTGATGTGGAGAGGAGGCGTCCTCTTACTACTCCCGCTCGAAGCCCCTGATAGTGGGGACAGATGGCGCCAAGCCAGGAGTGGCACAAGTGCCGGGTGGGTCTTGAGATCACTGTAGGCAGGTGATGACCCAGAAGATTCAGATGCAGGCCAGGTGCGGGTGCAGGAACATAAGTGCAGCAGCAGGTAGGTATGGCGGCAACCAGGATACAGGCAACGTGCAGATACAGGAACATACGTGCAGCAGTGTCAGACAAGCAAGGTCAGAATCAATTGGGCAGATCAAGTACAAGGGAGCAGGTAAGCGGGTAGTCAGGGATAACACGGGTCGGTGCAGGCGGAGTTCTTTCTTAATCAGGGTCAGATCAGATACAGGCAACAGAATAAGGTTATCAAGTACAGCACATTGTAGACCAGAAGGCATAGGCTAAACTGTGTTGGTGATTTAAATTGCCGGCTTGCGGTGACGTGTATGCTATTGCTCATTCGCGTAACCACACGCTCCCATGCATGCGCACTCGCACCGCACAGCTGACAGGGATCCGGTGCCAGTGCATAGATGCGCTTTGGAGAAGGAGAGATCCCTGACAATTCATGGCAGTAAACCATGCCATAGGCTTGGTGGTCAGTGGAAGTAAGAAACAAAACCACACCACTGATTTCAGTGGAAGGAATAGTGCCCCAGAATTGGTGTCAATGGGAGAATCAGTTCTCCATCTTTGGTGTCAGTAGAAGGTATTTTGTCCCATCATTGGTGTCAGTGGGACACGTTGTGCTTTGTATTAGTGAAAGAAATAGTATCACAAGGGCTATATAAAGGCAAACAAAGGACCACATATGGCCCACAGGTCGCAGTTTGGAGACCCCTGCTTAAAGCTCATGTCCTTATAAGCACAGCCTTTGACAGGAGAGAGTTTGAGAGAGACTAGTGTAGTCACTGCTGGAGTGTGTTACTGTAGGCTTGTGTTTTTTTGAATGACAGTGCTCCTCTCCAGCTGTCGCCATTCACAATACAAGCTTCCAGCTACTATTATAGTCATCTCCTCCAGACTAGCTGGTAGCCGCAGGAAGTTGTGGGATCAGTCTTTTATCAGTATAAATTGGTAGCAGAGGAGACACAGAGCTGTATGGCATTGGGGGCTGCAGAATGGGGCAGAGGCTGTGGTTGCAGGGAAGCTACAGTGGGCACTGACAGGAAAAAAAAATCCAACATTTCTAATTTCAAATTCTAAACCACAGCACAGATTTTAATGGAGACAAGTGCTAAGTGCATCAGTTCCCCTAGGGGGTCTATCACACCGTTTTATTTCTAGTGAGAGTTCTTTGAAGTAAAATTTGTTCTTCTTTCAAGATTCTTTTCACCCACTCATCACTGATGTAATGATCACTGATGTAATGATTACCCAGTTACCCTCAGATATGAAAAGGTTACTGAGCTATCTTATAGTACCTAAAATGTCCTCTTTATCTGCTGTTTTGCAGGCAAAGTAAAACATTTGTGAGTCTATGCACTACTAGCAGCAGCTTAATATAACTAGTTACCAATAAATATTAATGGTGTCTTACTATTGAATGGCATCAGGAAGTTGCTACAGAGTTATCAGGATAGTTACAAATGACTGTGTGACTGTGCAGCGTCAAAGCTGTTTGTGAATAATGTGGGTCTCCTGCTCATTTACAGCAAGCCCATTTATGGGAGAGCAGATTACAATTTTGGTTTTGCAGAATTGTCGATATAGCAAAACTTTAAAGTAGAACTGAAGGCAAAACCTTTTTTTTTTCACTTTACTCTAGATGATAATGGTAAACAGGACAAATAGAGAGGGTAAATCTTCCTAAGGAGGGCACAACCCGCAATACAAAACCTGATAGGTGTTCTAATTCCTTTTTCCCTCTCTACTCCATCTTAAAAAAAAAAAATCTGTTTAGTTAGAGAGTACTTTAATGCCACTGAGACCCTTTACACCAACACAAAATTAAAGTCAAAAACAGTAATGTTAATGTTTCCTTCCAGGGTGTTCCCAGCATCCCCCTGGGCTATTTGTTATTATTTTAACCAAGCTGTGAGTAAATCTTTACTATGAGTCTTGCCTCTTACCTTGTATCTGATTGATAACATTATCAATTGTGTGTTTAGTTATTTTACTAAATGTAGTAATATTTTCCAGGCTTAAATTGTTATATCCATTTATTCACTTGGGTGTATAATGTGGTGTGTATAATATTAAATCACAATTTCATTGCTGGCTTTTTTGTGAAGTTTAAAGCTATGATGTTTTAGGGCTCTTTTACTTGCACTATATTACCAGAAGTATTGGGACACCCCTCCAAATCATTGGATTCAGGTGTTCCAATCACCTCCATGGTCACAGATGTATAAAATCAAGCACCTAAGCATGTAGACTGGTTCTACAAACATTTGTGAAAGAATGGGTTGCTCTCAGGAGCTCAGTGAACTCAAGCGTGGTACTGTGATAGGTTGCCACCTCTGCAATTAGTCCATTCGTGAAATATTCTTGCTACTAAATATTCCGCGGTCAACTGTTAGTGGTATTATAACAAAGTGGAAGCAACTGGGAAAAACAACAACTCAGCCTCAAAGTGGTAGGCCATGTAAAATGACAGAGCGGGGTCAGCGCACAGTGCGCAGAAGTCGCCAACTGTCTGCATAGTCAATAGCTAAAGATCTCCAAACTGCGTGTGGCCTTCAGATTAGCACAACAACACGTAGAGAGCTTCATGGAATGGGTTTCCCTGGCCAAGCAGCTGCATCCAAGTCTTACATCACTAAGTGCAATGCAAAGCGTTGGAAGCAGTGGTGTAAAGCATGCCACCACTAGACTCGAGAGTAGTGTAGCCCTGTTCTCTGAAATGATGAATCACGCTTCTCTGTCTGGCAATCCAATGGGTCTGGGTTTGGTGGTTGCCAGGAGAACGATACTTGCCTGACTGCATTGTGCCAAGTGTAGAGTTTGGTGGAGGGGGGATCATGGTGTGGGGTTGCTTTTCAGAAGTTGTGCTTGGCCCCTTGGTTCCAGTGAAGAGAACTCTTAAGACATAAGCATACCAAGACATTTTGGACAATTTCATGCTCCCAACTTTGTTGGAACAGTTTGGAGATGGTCACTTCATGTGCCAACGTGACTGCGCACCAGTGCACATAGCAAGGTTCATAAAGACATAGATGGGTGCGTTTAGGGTAGAGGAACTTGACTGGCCTGCACAGAGTTCAGACCTCAACCCGATAGAACACCTTTGGGATGAAATAGAGTGCAGACTGTGAGCCAGGCCTTCTAATCTGACATCAGTGCCTGACATCACAAATGCACTTCTGGAAGAGTTGTTAAACATACCCATAGACAGACACACTCCTAAACCTTGTGGACAACCTTCCCAGATGATTTGAAGCTGTTATAGCTGCAAAGGTTGGACCAACTAAATATTAAACCCTACAGACATTTTTTAAAGTATCAGAGCTGCCATATATATGTGAACTAACTACATTGTAATGGTATTTGTTCTTTTTTCTGCTGGAAAACAGGCAAATGTTGTGTATAAATCATTTAAGAATTCCTATGGCCTTTAGCTATAAATATCATGTGCATTTATATAGTGAACATCTGTAAAAAAGTATTTTCACCTCTGTTTTTGCATAGTGGAGTAGATTTACTAAAATTGGTGAACTCATTGTTGTCTGTATTGGAGTAACTATAGTTCTTTATATGGAAATTTCAAACCCTTACTTCAGTACAGCTGTCCTTCATTTCTTTCTCATATAAATAAGATTGAATTTTGTTTGTATTTTTTCTTCACAGTTTTTGAAAATGAATTAAAATATCATACCTTTGCTGTCGAAGATGAAGAAGAAGATGAGGGGGAAAAATTTGAGTTTGATAGTGGAGATGATGCTCCAGAAGCTGATAGAACACAACCCACTCAAACAGCTGGGGGTGATCTCATTGACCTGGACTTTAAACTCCCAGATCCTCCTGGTAGGTTGATGTTTAAAGTGTATCTAACCCCAAAACCAGAAATGTAATGAATTGCAGATTACTAGTCATTGGTTCGGAGGCTGCATTGGCTTTCTTTTTTCTTTTGCTTTATTTTCACCTGATAATTTTGCAAATAATATACTTCCTGTTCCTGGGTGGCAAGGTCACTCCTCCACAGATCTAAGGAGGGGGTCATGGTTGTCACCTACTTTTGATATGGTCAAGAAACATTCCTGCATCTCTTTATCTTGATAACATGGGGGGGGGGGATACATGGCCTAACCCTCCTTCGCTCTGCTAAAAAGTTTTTATGTGTGTCCCCATTGGAGAGATTTCTCATCACTTCATAGAGCAATAACTTTTCCCTGCCATAATCAAAACAAAATGAAACATTTTGGCTGGAGTTCCATGTGAGCTACATGTGAGCATTGGTTAAACTTTGTCTTGTAAAAGCAAAAGAGCATCACATTTCATCATTAACAAACTTCAAGTAGATTTCATGAAACCCTTTAAAAAAGACAGTCAGAAATTGGCATTAATGCAAATCTGTACTCTTACTTTGCTAGCGAAAAAAAGGGCAGAGCATTACCTCTCAGGGTTAGGTTACGTGCCATTATTCACTTGATAAATTGCACTCTGTCTAGGCTGCTGGAGGAGGGTAAAACTGTCAAATAACAAAGGCTTTTGTTTTATTCCATGTAATCCTTAAAGCGACCTTGGCAATATGACATTTCTGGAGTGTCTGTTATCAGAGTTTAGACAGGAGTTATGGGTGATTTCATTATGTACTTTCACAGTAATTCCATGCTGTTATAATGCAGTATTCATCTACACATTCATTTGGAATTAGAGTACTAAAGGTCACTGCATAACTGCTACAATCTGACATTTGTAAAGTGGTTGTTTCTAGCAGATTGGGTAAATCATAGAAAAAACTTTGTGTTACTATTTGAATGGAGTTTATAAAACATGATAACATTACACCAGTATTTCCGAACCTTGCATGAATGTCACAAACGAGTCCCCAAAAATATGCCACTCTTTTGTAAGCAATGTTTCCCATGTTTATCTTTGCTTAGCTGACCAAATGTGACCTTTGAGGCACTGGAGCATATTCATAAAGCATACAGCTGAACATTAGCTGGTGCATTTTTATAGTGCATTCCCTTGGATTTTGTAGGGTGTAAATCTGGCCTTAGACTGGTGGAATTTTGGGGGGAAATTTTTGTTTAAAGAATGTTTCATTTTCTAATGGTTAATGGAGTCTAATCATTCATTTTTGACCACACGGACAAGAAAATTTGAAGGAGTAGGATGGAACTTTTTCTCTTGAACAAAGGAATTTCAAACAATAGATATGGTTTTTGTTTGGGAAAGTCCATTCACTCCAAAATTGAATGTTATAAGTATTTAAGTATATATTTTTTTAAAGTACTATCAAATGACATTCATAAAGTCATTAAATGTACTTGTAATGAATATTTGATCAAAAATCCACTTGGGTATGGCCATTTTAAGATGAGCAATACTGCCAAATGGAGCTCTCCATAGTGCTGAAACGGTGTGTTAAATCTAAATTATGATTCGGCACTTATATTGATGGCAAGCTTGCAAAATATTTGGTTTTTATGATTAGTCATAATTAATATTAATATGTGTGAATGGTCTTTGACAAATGGTAGTATTTACTATTCTTCAATTATAGCTGAGACCAAAAGATATACAAGTTAAGCTGAAATAGTATATACTAGTTGAAGGTTGAGTATACTATATTTAGGCATAAAAGTATTTGGTAGTTATGTCAAGGTTATTAGAAGTGACTTACTATTACATTACGTATTTTAATGGTATCTGTGTATATTTAGTATACGTTTCTAACATTGATACATTTACGTCATTAGCTTATAATATTATGTACATCAGCATACATACAGTATGTTCCTGTCCATCAAAGACATTATGTGAGTGTCGTCCCCTCCCTTCTGTGCCATACAAGGTATTAAGATGACACACTCATGCTGCATAAAGGGGGCCTTGAGGGACAGAGACACACACTTACACGCTACATAACTCTTGCATACACACGTCTGAGATGCTGGAACAGGTGCTGCAAGACAAGAGATCATCATTAACGTCACTTCCGTCTTCTCTCTCGGACTTTGAGTTGGACAAGGACATGAGAATCGCACATGGCAAGGACAGCCATGACAGATAATGGTGACTTTGTTTTAAACATTTGCTTGTCATTTTTACAGTAGTTTTATCTACATGGAACTGTTCATAATACGCTTTACATTGTTATTTGACACCATTGTGTGATAGAATAAAATCACACTTCATTTTTTATTTCAATGGCTCTTTCATTCATAATCGCCTCAAGACACTAGAAGAAGTATTATATGTATCTAAAAATCCAACATGGTGCTCTTTTTTTTCCCTTACGGCACTGGTATTCCTAAGCAGGGAGCAGATACTCCCTGTCTTTTATTCTTCGCTAACATTCACTAGTGAATGGCATGAAATATATATTATTTATTACCAAATATTGTGTTAGGTCAGCAGTTTCACAGGAAGCCATGGAGAGACAGCTCTGTTTCACTACACACAGACACATACACATGCACACACACGCCTGGTGTTTTGGGGTGGTGGAATTCAGGGTGAGCCATGCCATGTTTGCATAAATATTTTTTGATTGAAAAAAATGAAAACTAAACTCCAACTGCTGAAAGAGTGAAAATACACTAAATCAGTTTGGATATGCTTTATAACATGGGTGAAGTTTGCCTAGCAAATGTGTTTTTAAATATATGTGCTAAACCTATAGCTATAACCTAATAATAAAAAAGTGCAGCGCTATAAATATAGATGTGACATAAAAATATAAATATATAAAAGTCCCAATGAAGGTGACCTCGGGTAACAATGCACACTGACCAGAAGTGCACATAAATAGTGCAATGTAGCAAGGATGGAGTTCAGATAGTCGTCATCAGTATGGGAAAGGGCAGATGTGTTCCCGTGATCAGTGAAGATCCACACGGTGAAGACAAAAAATGGGGCAGAATATATCCACTAGCCAGCAGAAAAGGAATTACAGCTCCACCAGAGAAAACCACCACTCCTCCACTGCACATCAACGGAATCTAGGAGAAAATGCTCCCCACCAAAGTCAGGGAGGCAGGTGAAGTTTAGCAAACTTCACCTGCCTCCCTGACTTTGGTGGGGAGCATTTTCTCCTAGATACCGTTGATGTGCAGTGGAGGAGTGGTGGTTTTCTCTGGTGGAGCTGTAATTCCTTTTCTGCTGGCTAATGGATATATTCTGCCCCATTTTTTGTCTTCACCGTGTGGATCTTCACTGATCAAGGGAACACATCTGCCCTTTCCCATACTGATGACGACTATCTGAACTCCATCCTTGCTACATTGCACTATTTATGTGCACTTCTGGTCAGTGTGCATTGTTACCCGAGGTCACCTTCATTGGGACTTTTATATATTTATATTTTTATGTCACATCTATATTTATAGCGCTGCACTTTTTTATTATTTTCATGTGAGGATTTCTTTTGGTTGTCCTGTGTGTTTCAGCTGCTTGTCCATTTAAAGCGCTCACTTTTTTGCTCTCTTCTTCATATAGCTATAACCTATAGCTGTACATTTCTGAACAGCCATATTTAAACCCATTGCCTTTGAAGTCTGCGGGACACAGACACTTACAGGAAGTGTTGATAACTTTGGTCCACTGCAGTGCTCAGTGGTTCCTCCTGCTGACCTCCACGTCATTATATGATCCATTAATGAGATGTAGGTAGACAGGAGGAACCGCTGGAGGAAGTAGGGATTAGACTTTCATTAGCTATTGATAATTTTTCAAATGTAAATGCTACTTTTATCTGAATGGCAAAAACAATTTATCAGAATATAAATACTTCTTTGTAGCGTTCACTTGAAAATACATCAAACGTGTTTGCTATAAGTAATCTGATATTTCATGGATTAACTTAAAGGCTAAGAACATATTAAATGTTACACCTGTATTTAGGGTGTAACATGTTTCTAAATCTCCCCCTACCCCCTGAGCCCTTCCCATGACAGCAGGTAAGAGTTCTTCTTCCCACAACTGCTCTCACATTTAAAATCAGTGTGGCTGTTCAGGGCTCTACCCGTACAGCCACATAATTTATTCACAGAGCCCTGTGAAAGAATAAACTACAAGTCCCGTCTGTCACTGTACTTTTCAACGAACTATGATCAGCATGCTGGTATTCAATTTTCAGGTCATTGTGATTTCCAACTGAGAGCCTGTGCAGATTGTGGGTACAATGCTTTGCAGGCTCTTGTAAAATAAAAATTAATAAATGCACATTTTTTTTCTGCAAAAACATGTGCATTTAATATTTTTTTAAGATGAACTTAGTCTTTAAAGAGTAGCTTCACTTTTGTGGAGTGACCTATGTATATTGCAAGGACTTTAACAAACATTGTGGCAGAGACTTATCTGCTTCTGTTCTACTGTGTCCTTGGAATACTAATTCCTAAATGGGAATGTCTGTGTTGAGTGCAATCAGTTGGTTCACTTTGCAGTATTCTAATGAGAAATGTTGCAGTGTTTGCATCCTTTTAGAAGTAAATAACCCTTAAGGTATATGTAAACCCTCATCTTGCAAAACAACCATTCAGTAAAAAATAGAAATGAAAAGAAAAGTGATCACAGTCCTCCCGTTCTCAACTGCATAAGAGTTGGGGGAGGAAAAACAGCATCACAGTGAACTTCACAGCAAAAGGCGGAGCGGGGGTGGGTGTCAGCAGAACTGTGGCCAGTTTTTAATAGAAAAGCAGAGGTACTGGCAAGAACACCAGGGATTTCACACAAAGGAAGCAATACAAAGAGAACAGGGTACTTTTTCAAAAAAGCACATGGTACAGCAGGCACATACCAGGAATAGAAATGTTGGGTATACATACTCATTAAGCATTGCCTCACCAAAATAAAATTCCTATTGTAAAGGATGCCTAAAATTTTATTTGTATTGTAGTGCAGACTTCTGGAAAAATTAGGAGCTGAGAAAATTTCTTTTTTGGGGGTGTTCTGTATACCAACTGTGTATAAAAGTCCTTCACATTGCCATATTCCATTACATTTTACAGAAAATTACAGCACTGCAGATTAAAGTGGAAAGGCCATTTTTAATAGCATTAAATTACAATATGGATTGTGTAGTATTTGTATACATTATATATTTTTTTATTTTCTATATTTTTTTTCATGAAGGTGGAGTTGCCCTTTAAATCTGTCTTTTTTTTTCTTTTTTTTGCTATAGAATTGGATCAGCCAGACAGTGACAATGTTTTATGTCAAGATCTGCAAGCAGAAAACGATTTGAACACAGCCCCAAGAAAGGTCAACCCTTACTCTGTGATTGACATTGCACCCTTTCAACCCTTTCAAGAAGGTGATTCTGCTACATCTCAAGAGCCTGAATCAGTGGATGGCAATACAAGTCCTCGAGTGCCATGTGGTTATTCAGTTCCTGTGCCATGTGGGTATGCTGTGCCAAGCAACCTGCCTTTGCTGCTTCCTGCATACTCCACTCCAGTCATTATTCGTAACATATCCATAGATGAACAAGGTAAAACTGAATTGTTTTGTTTTCCCCTGCACTCTCCCTGACATTGAATAACGTAGGGAATTGTTAAGACCCCTGCCAGTTTTTTTTCACTGTCTTTTCTGTATCTTATAGATTTGCCATCACTTTCTATCTCGGAAATATAGCATGATTTTGGATTGCCCCTTATTTTCTTTCTTGGTCACAGTTACATAGTTACATAGATAGTCTGGCTGAAAAAAGACAAAAAGTCCATCCAGTTCAACCAAAAAAAAAAAAAGAATTTATAATCCTATACCCAGAGGTGATCCAGAGGAAAGCAAAATAAATCCCAACAAAGCATGATCCAATTTGCTCCTACAGGGAAAAAAAAATCCTTCCTGATCCCCTGAGAGGCAATCTCATATTCCCTGGATCAACTTTACCTATAAATGTTAGTATCCAGTTATATTCTGTTTATATAAGAAAGAATCCAGGCCTTTTTAAAAGCAATCCACTGAGCTGGCCAGAACCAACTCTTGAGGGAGTCTATTCCACATTTTCACAGCTGTCACTGTGAAGAAATCTTTCTGTGTTTTTTGGAGATTAAATTTCTTTTCCTCCAGATGTAAAAAGTGCCCCCTTGTCCTCTCTGATGACCTCAGGGTGAATAACTCTACACCGAGTTCACTATATGAACCACTGATGTATTTATACATGTTGATCATATCCCCCCCTTAATCTCCTCTTCTCAAGAGAGAATACATTCAGTTCCTCTAATCTTTCCTCATAGCTGAGCTCCTCCATGCCTCTTATCAATTTAGTTGCCCTTCTCTGTACTTTCTCCAGTTCCCCAATGTTCTTTTTGTGAATTGGTGCCCAAAAGTAAATTATATATTCCAGATGAGATTTTACTAATGATTTGTACAGGGGTAATATGATCTCTCTCTCTCTCTCTCTCTGGAGTCTATACCTCTTTTAACTAGCTGCCGACCGCAGATAGCCGAATGACGGCTGCACTGCGGCCGGCCAGTTCTGAGTGGACGTCATGACATCCTCCCAGAACGCGCCTGGGGCGCGCGCACCCGGCGATCTCCGTGATCGCTGTGTCCTACGGACACAGCTGATCACGTGATGTGGTAAAAGGCCAATCACAGCGGCCTTTTACCACGTGATCAGCGGTGTCCAATGACGCTGATCAAGGGAAATGCAAGTGCCGGTTCGCAGCTGCACTTTCCTCACGCTATCAGATCGTGAGGAAAGTACTGCCGAGAACCGGCAGTTGTCAGAGCGGGGATCGGCACCGATCATCAGGGCACTGATGATGAATAAACAGGTACAAAATGAAACATTGTTTTATATGAGCAGTGTTGTTGATAAACATTTCCAGACTGCTTTTCTTTGACAGCTCCAACTGTCAGAATTTTCTTTGTGTACTAGACAATACTGCTTTGATTAATCAGAGCTGAATTGCTGAGTACTGTGACAGGAGGTCCTGGAAGCAGGGCAGAAAGACTGGATTTATTACACACACCCCCTGTGGACAATGATGACAATCATTCGTCAAGAGTCTGCAACTGGTTAATCCTGTTATTTTTGTCTTTTGATTTAATTTTTTTATACTTATCTTTGGTAAACCAGGTTAACTAGTAAAACCATACATAGCTGGTAAGCTTTTGCATGCTCTTCCTTAAAATCCTCTGCATTATAAAAAAGGTACCTCTGATGAAGTGTATGCCACATCCATGATCACTGCCCATTCTTTAAAATGTACAATGTTATTCATTTCAAAAAGTATAGCTCTAACTATACTTCTGATCCACTATGGAGTGTTGTGTTCTCATACACAGGATATTGTTTATCTGCCATCTTTCTCGTTGTCCATTCACACAAAGACATGTATTATGTGAATGGTTTACAATAGAGTTCTGCTTTTATTTAGGATTTAGATGTACTTCAAGCAATAATGATCCCTATGAGAATGTATATTGTATCTAGTTCAACTCAATCTAAATCAAGTTATTTCAGTGGAAGACATGGCTGTTACAACCATTTTTTAAACTGATGATGGATTGTACATGTTGTGAATTAGGATTTTTGCTGATACTGAAGCTGTTCCTTCTTTTGCTGGTATTAGACAGTGTTGTACAGTTTCATTAAATGTAATCTTATGTGAGCTCAGTGTTAATATAAACTGTGTGATGATCCTTTTGGTTGAATATATACAAACCCTAATTTCTAGCACTTTACTTTTACTGCCATCTACAGGGGTTCAGGAGGAAGTGCCTAATCCTCACTTTCATGTTTTGACTGACAACCATCATTCAAGGTAAACCGTGATGCGAGATTAGTAACTTGTATATTGACTTTTTCATAGTCAATTCATATATATCAATTGTACTTAAATTTTTCAGAAATCACTGATTTCTCTCACACAGGAAATTAAGTGTAAAAAGAGACTGCACAAGTAAGAGAGTGAAGTTACTGATTTCCTGCACATATAGGAAGGGAAGAACAGGAAAAAACACCATTTAGATGTGTACCCTGCCCATCTCCAACTTCCATTATTTATGGCAACAATTAGACCTGCACTCCAACATACTTGCTAGTACTTAAGTATATGGTCTCAGTGCCACGGATACCTATTGTGTAGTGAGATCTACATGTGGCTATGTTCATTTTATTATACTAGACCAAACCTTTTCTTCATGTAAAGGATAAGTTCATATTTTAACATAAAATAATAAATGCACATTTTTTTGCAGGTAAAAAAAATTAGCATTTTTATTTTTTGTTTTAGGAGCCTAGAAAGCATTGCACCAGAAATCAGCAGATTGCTGGTGCCATGCAGAGCTCCTGCGGACTGTCAGTGTAATCTGTCTACTTGTGCATCATACGAGCAGGTAATTTTACACTTACAGGCAGAATCAATGAACTGCCACAGTGTTCAGCAGTAACTTGGTAGTTCACTGAGAACTACAAAACGACAGCTGCAAAGGCTGTCAGGACTTGAAGATTCCCATTCACAAAATTCTGTAAATGAATGACGCAGCCGGGCATGTGTTTTTTTTTTTTTTTTTTTTTAAACTGTGACAGCTAGCGGGGGGAGAAAATCCCCTGCTAGCCATCACAATGGGGGATCAGCTGGGTGTGGGGGCTGGTCCTACTGTTACATGTTATTGAATATGTTAATGTGTTAAACCAATCCTGTGCTGTGAATAACGAAATTAAAACAAAATAAAAATAGTGGGTCGCCTACACATTACACATACTCATACCATTGTGTCATAGCAAATCCAGAAATATATAATAGTGTCGCGCTCCACTGACAATCAACGATGTGTGATATCAAAACCAAAACAAATTCTGCATAAAGATACAATATCACTATTGCAGCAAAACAAATGTCCTTATTTAATCCGTGACTTCACACTCCTTCTGGTGATACAACAGAAATTATTTGTGTGCAATTTGTGATATCAACCAAATGTGCACCTTCACTGGCTGTGCTCACCTGGTATATATGACCAAACTTAAGTGAGGTCATAAAAGCCTTGTACCCCTTTAGTTGGACTTAAAACTGGATGGGAATGTCACTCTTAGGACTCTTCCTCTATAGATGTATGTACCATAATGTGTAATGAAAAACATAGTGCCTTATCTTCTTTTTAAAACATTTATTTTTTAATCGTTCTCTCTGAGCATAAAGTAGTTCTTCAGTCATTGTTAGAAACATTAAAACTCATTTCCCAGTTCTTTTGGAAAATAAAAAAACACCATAAAAAGTGGATTGTAATACAAGAACTATTGAAGAATTAAAGTATAACTACAAGCAAAACCTTTTTTCTTAATTTCTGGATAGAATGGACAGGGATTAGAAAACCCCTATCAGTTTTTATTCCTGTCTGTGCCCCTGTTAGGGAGATCCACCCTTTCTATTTGTCCTGGTTACCATTATCATTGAAAGTGAAAATAAAAGAAATCCTAAATTTTGAGTTGTCCCCAGAAAAGTAATAGAGGGGAAATCTTCCAATGGCGACACTAGTTCTGGTAACCTGGGGGTCCCCAAATAATTCCCCTAATTTGCAGGGATTTCCTTTCACCTCCTGTTTGACTTTGGGACAGGAAGTGAAGGCAAATCTCCCCAATGGAGAAACAGGTGATGAAAAAAAAAAAAAATCTGACATGAGTTGTAACCCTACCTTTGCTCTATCTAAAATGAAAAAGAAAGTTTTGCCTATAGTTCTACTTTAAAACATGTTATTTTTTTTTACGCATATCATGCAATTAAATGCTCTTACAACCTTTAATTCTCTTTAAAGTGAGGACTTTCAGGCATCAAAAGAAGAGGATGTATTGGCCAAGTGGGTTTCAGATCCAGCAAACACAGAATGGATGGAAAGTAAATATTTTAATGTGCTTTTGTTTAATTATATAACCTTTTTATTATCTGCTCTTTCTGTTCATTTGCCCACAGCATTACTTTACTTATTACTGCACTTTGCATTTCACTGATTTATTTTATCCAAATGAAGAAAAAAAAAAAAAGCATCTTCACTGAAATTGGCGTTCACGTTTCAGTGGAACTGGGTTTAGATTCAACCAGGTCTATTCCATTATCAAGGATGGCAACAGAGAGTGTTCTGTCCACCCCCAGTACAACTCACTGAAAGCAGTATTAAAGCCCAAAAGCAAACATTTATTATATTGCAGCTTGCCAATTCTTAGATGTGATGGTTGCATTCGTTTTTTCTTTTTTTAGGTTTTCTTTCTTTTATTTTCTCCAGACATTCGGCCAGTAAGTCTGTTATTTTTCACAATAACAGGCTGTCCTGCAGATTTGACAGAGTGTTGAGACAAATCATTTAAAACTGAAAGGGGTTCTTACAATGATCAGCTTTTATTAATTTCTGTATAACCTTTTTCTCAAAAGGAACTGCTTAAAAAGTGTTAGCTGGAGGTTTATTTTGAGTTTTGTTAGTGGATCTCAATTTGTTACTACATTTGACACAACCCCACTGCCCCCCCCCCCCCCCCCCAAGATTAACAATGCTGCCATCCAAAGGTGTGCCCCTCTGCTCCTTCATCCAGAGTGGGAGCAGGCAGTATGCTACTGGCTAGATCACTAGTTAAAAACGGAGAAAAAGCCTAAAAAAAGAAAACTAATGCAGCCACCACATCTAATCATTGGTAAGCTTAAATATATAATATTTTTGGATTTGAGTTTATTATTGCTTTAAACATGTTTCTTCCCATGGGTTTCTCCCTTCCATGGGTTTCCTGTGAGTACTTAAGTCATACATGGATTAAAATTCAGCTAGTTCAGCAAGGACCAGCCAATTTTTGATCCATGTATGGGCAGGCTGGTTGTACAGAAGTCGATATACTGAGCCATGCTGTTAGATTAATAAAAATAACTTTTTAATGTTGGGAAAGTGAAGGAGGGTTTTAACCCCTCTCCGTTTTTTTTTGGTTGTTTTTTTTGCCATCCCGTTTTGTGTCCCATTGGGACAGTTCCCTTCGCTTTCTGTCCCATAACCACAACAGGAGGTGAAAGGAAATTCCTCCAAAGTGAGGAAACTCCTTGGCACTCACCAGGGTAACTGGCATTAGGGCCCTTTTAAACTGTCTGCACATTAAATGAGATTGGGTTTAGTGTGAGTGCAGCTGTCTGTTTCGACTGCAGTGAGCCATAGTCAGGGGTAAGTGTGACATGCACTAGTCACCACACTATGTGTGAATAGGCCCCAGTAGAAGATTTCCCCTCCTTTCCTCTTCTGGTGTCAACTCAAAATTAGGAATTTTCTCTCACTGTCACCTTCTGTGAGAACGGTCAACAGGACAAATAGGGAGGGTGATGGGGGCACAGACAGCAATACATCCCCTTTTAATACCTCCACACTATCCAAAACTAAAAAAAAAAAAATTGTCTTCAGATAAAGAGGTTCTAAAGGTTAATTTTTTAATATTTTTTTTTAAATAACCTGTTACATACGTACCTTCTGTGTGCAGTGGTTTTGCACAGAGCAGCCTGGATCCTCCTCTTCTCCGGTGTCCTGCAGGCTCTCCTGGTCCCTCGCTCCTGTCGGGTGCCCCCACAGCAAGCGGCTTGCTATGGGTGCACCTGCTGCTCCATGTGTGCATTCACACATGGAGCTGTGGCTTGGCTGCCCCGCTCCTCTCTCCTCATTGGCTGACTGGCTGTGATTGACAGCAACAGGAACCAATGGCTCCCGCTTGCTGCTGTTTCAATCAATTAGGAGGCAGAGACCCCGGGACAGCCGAGACTGTCATTCACATCGCTGGATTGTGATGAGGCTCAGTTAAGTATTGAGGGGGCTGGGGGCTCTAATACACACAGAAGGTTTTCTACTCCAATATAGTGATATGACAAGTATACAGTATCATCACCTAGGGACCTTACTGTATACATGTCATCACTATACTGGCGTACAGGGGAGCTGGGATATACATAATGTATGCATGTCATATCACTATAATGGAGTACAGAGGAGCTGGGATATATACATACTATACACATGTCATATCACTATAATGGAGTACAGGGAGCTGGGATATACATACTGTATACATGTCATATCACTATAATGGAGTACAGCTCCTCTGGGAGCTGGATATACATTACTCCAATATGTATACATGTCATACCACTATAATGGAGTACAGGGGAGCTGGGATATACATACTGTATACATGTCATATCACTATAATGGAGTACAGGGGAGCTGGGATATACATTACTGTATACATGTCATATCACTATAATGGAGTACAGGGGAGATGGGATATACATTACTGTATACATGTCATATCACTATAATGGAGTACAGGGGAGCTGGGATATACATTACAGTATACATGTCATATCACTATAATGGAGTACAGGGGAGCTGGGATATACATTACTGTATACATGTCACATCACTATAATGGAGTACAGGGGAGCTGGGATATACATTACTGTATACATGTCATATCACTATAATACAGGGGAGGGGGGATATACATTACTGTACATGTCATATCACTATAATGGAGTACAGGGGAGGGGATATACATTACTGTATACATGTCATATCACTATAATGGAGTACAGGGGAGGGGGATATACATTACTGTATACATGTCATATCACTATAATGGAGTACAGGGGAGCTGGGATATACATTACTGTATACATGTCATATCACTATAATGGAGTACAGGGGAGATGGGATATACATTACTGTATACATGTCATATCACTATAATGGAGTACAGGGGAGCTGGGATATACATTACTGTATACATGTCATATCACTATAATGGAGTACAGGGAAGCTGGAATATACATTACTGAGTAATGTATATCCCAGCTCCCCAGTACTCCATTATAGTGATAGGACATGTTGTATACAGTACTTACTGTCCCCCGTGGCGGTGGAGAGGGTGTCTCCTCTCCGCGTAGGAGAGCGGACCTCTCCTGCACCTGTACCCTCGGCGGCGGTGCCGCAGAAGCCAGGAAACCGGAAGTTGTAAACCGGAACTCGGCTTCACAATGAGGCTTGGAGCGCAGGTGCAGTCGCTCCATGCTTCATCTGTGCTTACCACTCGCAGCGAGGAGAAATTCCTCTGTGGCGAGCGGGTGAGCGGCTTTTTCAAGCCCTGATCTACAGTGTATGTTGATTACATTCTAACTTTACACATAATTCCTTTTCTTGTTGTATGCATTCCATAAAATACTACCACTAACCTACTAACATGTCATGCCTTTGAACGTTACATGATATTCAACAAAATATTTATTTGTGCACTGAAATTAGTTTTTTTACCTAATATGGGATGTATATTGTTTTTTTTATCTTTTTAGATCCTGATGAAGTTATTTATGATGATGTACCTAGAGAAAATTCAGACTCTGCAACAGGTACTCAAATGATTACACTGCATTGTGTTCATAAAAAAGTTAATAAAGACTGTCGGGGTCAGTCCTGCTTCAGACATCCATTAGTAACTCATCAGGTGGCTCACCTGTTTGGTTTGTCTGAAATATATATATGAGGGGCGTTCAAGTCAAATCGGAACTTTTCATTTCACAGGTATACATAAGGATGCTAGCGTGGCAGTACTACACGCAGTAGTAAGTGGCAAGTGTGTCCTCTTACTTATAGGCAACACACGTCATGGGTCAGTCCAGAAATTGTTCATCAAGATGGCAGACAACAGTGTTCGTGTTAGTGATGAGATGCTCAGCTGCTGTAAGTCATTTGAATGGTGTAAACGGTTCAAAGATGGCTGTACGTTCTTCAGTGACCATCCCGGCTGTGGTGGTTCCCAGGATTTTCTACCTCGTGGTGCCACTATCAACAGTAAATATTACTATCATGTTATGTGCATACACATCTGTGGAAAAAATGGCCTGCTTTGATCTCTAAGTGTGTCCTGTTTCTCCAGGACAACGCACAAGCTCATACTGCTCACGCACTCCGTGCACATTACAGCAACTCGGCTGAGAGGTGTTGCCACATTCTCCATTCCTGGACCCCTAAAAGAATTCCTTGGAGGTCAGCATTTCATCACTGATGACAAAAGTGAAGTGGGCTGTCGTAGAATGGTTCAGGTGTACTGACAGATATTTCTATGCCTAAGCGTTCCACGCATTAGTTAAACACTGGTATAAGTGTACGGGTAGCAGAGGAGTATGTTGAAATATAAATGCAGTTTCCACTCCTTGAAATTTGTTCTTTTATTATATAAGCTCAAAAGTCCCAGTTTGACTGGAACGTCCCGAGTATGTATATATGTGTGTGTATATATATATGTATGTATGTATGATATATATATGTATGTGTGTGTGTGTGTGTGTGTGTGTGTATGTATGTATGTGTATATATATATATATATATATATATATATATATATAGCGAGAGAGAGATGGAGAGGTCTTTTTTTCATAAATTATATTAATTAAGCGCACATTTGCTGGTTATGCTTTTTTTTCCCTAAAATATTCAATGTGTTACACTTACCTGCTCTGTGCAATAGTATTGAACAAGCTGTCCCTTTCCTTCTCTTCTGGTGCTTCCCACCAACGCTCTCGGCTCCTCGTGCAGGCTTGATCCCGAGCCAGGTTGCGTGCATCTATAGACACACTCACACACACACACTGCACAGCTGCACAGCCATTTTCTCTTCACAGGAATTGATTAACAGCAGCAGGAGCCAATGGCCCCCACTGCTGTCCTTAATTCCTGTGAGGAGAGAGGGCAGAGCTGCCTTGCATGCACAGTGCTGGATTGAAATATGACTCAAGGTAGGTTAGTATTTATTGGGGGGGGGGGGCTGGGAGGTAAGCTGATCATGCAGAGAATGTACACTAAAAGCCTTATACCTTTAAACCACTTTAATATTAAGTCTAACCCAGTATCCTCTTGTCTTAGATCCTGAGGAAATGATTTATGATGATGTGGAAAATGGTGAAGAAGGCAGAACCAGCTCTTTGGATTATGGCTGGAGTTCTAGTGAGTTTGAAAGCTATGAAGATCAAAGTGATTCTGAGTCAAAGCATGGAGTTCCCATTTCCTTCCTCCGAGGAGGCAGTAAAAGACATGTAAGTTTGTTACTATTTATTTATTACTATTTATTTAGCTATTTATAGTTATTTGTTTTATCTGGAAAATGTTGGCTCTACTTAGGGGCCAGTTCACTACTCCCAAGACAGGATAAAAAATATGGTTCCCCTGTAGCAAGGGGACTGATGGGAAATTTGTCCAGTACTGTATTTATACCAGCCTATATGCTACGGCTTTGAGGTCATCCTTGCCCTCTCGCCTGCCACAAGTATGTTCTAGACTGAAACCCCTATCAGAACCAATGGAGCCTACATAATATAGAGTGTGCCTGGAAATCACAGGTTTTAGTCATGTTCATTATTTATTTATTTAAATCATTTATTTTACATTGATTGATCATTTAAATTTTTTATATTTATTTAACATCAATGTTAAACTGTTATTTGCATGCTCCTGTCATTTGGTTCTTTAGACAGTGCTTTTGATATATTTTTCTTTCATGCATAATAGAACTGTACCGCTTGTGGGTACTTTGATTACATGTCTATGCTGGACGAGGGTACATTTCCCTACGCACCATCTGGCCAATTGATGAATCTAAAATATAACCTTTATTCAAATCTATAAAAAATGTATGCTCAGCTGTAATTAATGCCCATTGGAGTGGAATGTGCTGTGCGCAATATGACTGGATACCATTGCAATTATGTACCTTGCATACAAATGGTTAACACCAGACCAAATCAAATAACATACCATTTTAAATGAATTGATGGCATAAACAGAGACACTGTGGATTGATCACAAGCCTATCAGCTTGATTATATAATCTCTATTAAGGAAATGGAGTTACCCCATGGGCAAAGCTAATTAGATAGTATAATCTATCTTGCTACAGACATGTAATACGGGTACACTCATCCACAGGCTTAAATGTCAGCCTCTCATGGACAAGACCCATACATCACCATATAGAGACAAAAATACCTCACTGTCTTGAGGAATGCAAATGATGCACTGTAAAACAAAGTACAGACCTCTCCAAAAAAGGGGAGAGAGGAGTGAATACCATGTGCATTCAAAAAGTGCTCCCAAAGAAAGATCCAAAGAAAAAATTAGTTTGATTTTTTTTTTCTTTGCGTATTTCTTTGGGAGCACTTTTTGAATGCACATGGTATCCACCTCTCTCCCCCTTTTTTTTTTTTTTTTTTTAGAGGTACTGTACTGCGTTTTACAGTGCATCATTTGCATTCCTCAAGACAGTACATTCCACTCCAATAGCCATTAATTACAGCTGAGCATACATTTTTTATATATTTGAATAAAGGTTATATTTTAGATTCATCAATTGCTCAGATAGTGTGTAGGGAAACGCACCCTCGTCTAACATTTGTTATTTGCCAAAGATGATGATTTACAATTAGGGCTTAGTTCAATAGTTACTTTGATTACATGGTCAAAACACTTCCTAGAAGAAAATGTCATATTCACGATTTCATAATTTAGTCTGGGTGTGTTGCTAAATTGTTCCGCCTGGCAGTACTAGGGTCATTTGTTCGAATCCCAACCACGGCACCACCTGCCTGGAGTTTGCATGTTTTCCCTGTGCCTACATGGGTTTCATCCGGGTACTCCAGTTTCCTCCCACACTCCAAAGACCTGCTGGTAGGTTAATTGGATCCTGTCTAAATTGGCTGTAGTATGTGTATGTATGAATGTAAGTTAAGGACCTTAGTTGGTTAGGGACTGGTGTGAATATACAATATATATGTAAAGCGCTGTGTAAATTGACAACACTGTGTACAGTAAGTACCTGTAATAAATAATAAATTCTTGAATAATCAAAGTGAAAAATGTTTTTGTTTTTATACAGGAACTGCAAGATAGCAGTGAAATAGTTGAAATTCATACATTTGAGATGTTTAACATGCTGAAATATTTGTGATTCTGTTGCTCTTGTTTTGGATTTGCAAACAGCTGCCAAACTGTGTGCCATTATTTCCTGACTGAGCTTTGTAGCCTCATGTATCACCTCCCTGTGTTTGCCTTGCTTTTTGGACAGCTGCAAAGTTGCATTGGGGTGGGGTGGGCTGTGCAGTGTGGCAAAAAATGTGAGTCACAAGATTGGGCTGAACTGAATGATAGATCCTTTGTCCATTAAAAGAACCATGTATTTCACCTTGCTTAAGGTACAATTTAAAAAGTTTTTCCATTTGGGAAAAAAGGAACATATAGGGTGCTTTAGCTTTCAGAAGAAGTCGCGCATATGCGCTACTCCCAGGGGCGGACTGAACATTTGGAAACTCGGGCACTGCCCTAGGGCCCAGGGTCAGTAAGGGGGCCCCATGAGATGCCCCTGGTACCTTTTTCATTGGCTTTTTTGAGTTTGGGCAAGGACACAGGGGCCCCATGATTCCCTATTGCCCGGGGGCCCCATGAGTTGTCAGTCTGCCCCTGGCTGCTCCTTTCATGTTCTAGGAAAAATACTGAATTTAATCCTTTTTTTTTCTTCAACATCTGACACACTTCTGCGATTGTACAATTCCTGGTCACTTGCTGTGTTCAGTGGTCTGTTTTTGCTTTTTGCATCATTACTGTGTTCTGGAAAGGGGCATGACCAAGCCAGCCATATATACCTATTTTTGTTTATAACTTTAGATGCTTATTATATTTCTGAACCTTACTGTGTTTACATGTGGTTTTCACTGAAAGAAATAATATATGCTTAGTTAAAATTTCTAAAAATTTGTGATGGGCTTGCTTTATAAGTATAGTCCACCTTTTGACAATGTTTCATTTTACACCAATAGTTTACTTATACCTCACCACACTTGTAGTTCAGTGTTTGCTTGCTCCAGCCTCCTAACGGGCTGGACGAAGTGTTTGCAGAGGTCTGTACATTGCAACTGCAATGCACCTATCACAGTTGCAATGCTGGGCAGTGTTAAACACAAAAATTCAATAAATGCACATTTTTTAATTTGGGTGCATTTATTGCATTTTTGCAAAGGATGAACTTTAAGTACTCCTTAATAGTGACCTCTGGTATGTGTATTTGGATAAAGCTATAGCCATATAACTGAGTACTGTGAATGAAGGGAAGCAGTTGATTGGCATGTTTTAATAATTTTGCGCACATATAGAAGGATGCACTAAAATAGTGGAGTTTTTTTGGTTGGTATGGTTTAATATTTTTGCACATGTATAGTAGAGCTCTTGGCCTGCTTGTCTACTTAGAGCTACATTTTCTTACAAGAAAAAGCTACCTTGCTTGTGCTTCAGTTGTTATAAGTCTCATTTTACAGGCCAGAGTATGTGTTTCTCAGTTACACTCTGCAGTGAGCCAAGGAATGATGTGTTAGGCCAGGAATGCATTACATTTCTGAGAGTGAAAGAGAAAATGTGTAATAGATTTATAGTAGAAGATTTTTGTTCCATTTGTTACAGAGAATAGCTTTGTTTATTCTGTTATTGTCCAATTTGATTCATCAGTTAAAGTGGGACTAAGCCTCTTAGTCAACATTTTATGCTACTAGCCTTAGTAAATAGATAGGAGGGTATACTATATTTACTTGTTTTAAAGGCAAATTTGTCTTTATTACGTTTTCAACAGTTTAACAATACATAGCATGGAGGAAAAATGAAAACAGGTACAAGTGTACATACATAAGAAAAGCCATCGCACAAATGTGACAATGATTCATGTGAATAGGTGAAAATAGTTCCAAGGATCAATAACATATGGCATGTATTACGGAGATATGAATAAATATAGTGTTAAGGAGGGCATCCACGACGAGATGTAGGAGACAAAATGAGCTAGTTCCATATAAACTAGTATATGAATCTGAATCCAAACGAAAGCAAACTAAGAACAAGACAAAACCAAAAAAAAGGGGGGGGGGAAGAAAATAGTAGGAGAAGAGAAAAAAGGAGAAGTCAGTTGGAGAGATAAAGAAAAATAAGAAGAGAGGGGGATCGGGAGATGGGGATGGCAAAAAGCAGGACCGAGGCTGTCCTCTTCCAGGATCCCATCGGGACGACCCCATCAGCCACATCCGATGTGAGCCACGGGGCCAAACCGGTGGACCCCCCCAGAAAAATGAAATCGGGGGAGCAAGCACAAATCTGTCAGGGCCCGACAGGGGAACACATCTCTATCTCTGTTCTATCATACAAGAGGGTTTACGGAAGGGTCTGGGAAACCAATCCAAGCATCTGAGCTAGTAAAGTGGCTCTATAATATAACTCACAGTCTGGCAAACCCACTCCGCCTCCGAGCTTCGGGTAAGTGAGTAAACTATATTTTATTCTGGAAAATCCTGGTGCCAAATAAATCAAATCGAAAGGGAGCATAGCGATAGAAAGCTCTAAAGCACGGTAATCAGTTTAGTTTGAAAAAAACGTATAGCAACTTAGGCAAGATATTCATCTTGAGGGTGTTGATGTGGCTGAACCAGGGCAGGGCCAAGGCACCCCATGAAACCAGGTCTGTGCGAATACGGCGAAGCAGGGGTAAATAATTAAGGGAGTATAGAGCATTAAGGTCAGCAGAAATCATGACCCCTAAATATGTAATAGCCTTTGGTCGCCATTGAAAAGAGAAGTTAGAACGTAGATTCACCAATATATGGTCAGGTAAGGAAATATTCAGGACCTCTGTTTTAGAGATATTAAACTTGAAGTTACTGTAGAGACCAAATCTGTGGAATTCATGGAAAAGACTAGGGAGTGAGGTAAGTGGCTGTTGGACGTAAACCAAATGGTCATCTGCATATAGGGATAGTTTATGGTGTGTGGAGGGAGTGCGGACGCCCAATATCGAGTCATTAGCTCGAACAGCTCTCGCAAGATGTTCCATTACTAAAACAAAAAGAAGGGTCGAGAGGGGACAACCCTGTCTAGTTCCATTCGATATGGGAAAGGGTGGAGAAACCGTACCATTCACCAGGACAGATGCCAAAGGATGAGAATAGAGGGACATAATCTGAGCTAGGAAACGCGGACCCAAACCTATCTGTTCTAGGGTGAGACTAAGAAAATGCCAATCTACGCGATCGAATGCCTTCTCAGCATCAAATGAAAGGAGGCAAGCCCTTAAGTCATGCTGCTTAATATAAGAAATAAGGTGAATTGTTTTGGAAGTGTTATCCCTTGCTTCACGATCATGGTGAATCAAGGTTGGTAAAAAAGGAGAGAGGCGGTTCGCTAGAGTGTTTAGCAAAAAGCTTAACGTCCAGATTAAGAAGAGAAATCGGGCGATAGCTACCGCAGAGAGAAGGGTCTTTACCTGGCTTAGGGATAACCAAAATATTGGCTGATAAAAAAGCCGAAGAAGGTACTTTCAGGTCATCAATAAGATTAAAAGCCAGGGCCAAAAGGGTGGCCAGTTGGGCGGCAAATGTTTTATAAAATCACAGGGTAAAACCCGTCCGGGCCCGAGAATTAATTGCCCCAAGAACTTCCATGATAGAGAAGGGCTCTTCCAAATCTAGAGCATCTTGGACTTCTAAAACAGGCAACGCTGTCTCCGCAATATAGTGGGATATAGTTGGAAGAGAGGAAACGAGGGGCAGCGAGGTTGGTCGCAAATAAATGATAAAGTTGAGAATAATAATGCTCAAACGCAGAAGTGATTCCTTTGTTGTAGTGGAGTTTAGTGTTGTCGGGCGCCTTAATATGTTGGATCGGAGAACGGTACGGTCGAGGGTGGAGTACACGCGCCAGATGTTGTCCACATTTATTAGCTAAGGAGTAATGAGTGGTGTGTGCTTTGTCTCAGGCAACAAGGGAGGAGGAATCTAAACGTTGGTGCAAGTCTCTACGAGCGTTAGATAAGGTCACCGCGAGAACCGGATCCAGTGTGCATTTGAGGAGAATTCTAAGCGCACAATGAGTGAAAATAGTCGACACATCTCTTTCGTACGAGCCTTTTTCAGGCGAGAGCCATGTTTGATAACACCTTGAAGGACACATTTAAGGGTCTCCCATTGAGTAAAAGGGCTGGTAGTGTCCAATGCATGATCAGAAACAAAGTCTTGGATGGTTTTCTTAACTTCCGTGACACATAGAGAATCTTTGAGCAGAGTATCATTCAAGCGCCATGAGAAGTAACGTAAAGGCGAAGGTCTGTCTTGAAGTGTAAGATGGATTGGGGCGTGGTCCGACCATAAGAAATGGCCGAGAGAGGATGAAATCGGATAATCTAGAAAAGACTGTGAAACAAAGAAATAGTCTATACAACTATAGGACGCATGAGCTGCGGAGTAAAAACTATAGTCTCGCTCCAAAGGGTGTTGGATACGCCAGACGTCCACTAAGTGTAAGTTGTGCAAACATGACTTGACTTGAGATAAGACCGACGAGGAGGAAGAAGATTTACCTGCAGAGGTGTCTAAATCCAGAGAGAGAGAGCTATGTTGAAGTCTCCTCCGACAATAAAACAGGGACCCCCAAAATCGGACAACTTGGAAAGGACCGCTGTGAGAAATGTAGCCTGATTTTGATTGGGAGCTTAAACGTTCGCCACTGTAAAGACGAAATTATGATATTTCAATTTAAGGAAAAGATAGCGACCAGCTGGATCAACTAGTGAGTCCAAGACTTCCGGGCCAAACGTATGATGAAAAGCCACAGATACACCTCTGGATCTCGCCTGCGGATTAGTACTATGATACCATTGCGTATAACAGCGGTTGTGGAGGGCTGGGATACCATCTGAGCGAAAATGAGTCTCCTGGAGGAGCAAGATCTGTGATTTATGCTTATGGAAATGATATAGCATCTGGCTCAGCTTCTCTGGGGTGTTAAAGCCCCTGCAATTAATAGAGGAAAATTTGATCGGGTCAAAATTATCTGAGGTAGAGGAAAGAGGGGGAGAGTGTATCACCAATGGCGCTCTGCCAAACCGACCCCTACTTCCGAGTAGAGAGAAGAAAAAAAAAAAGGGGAAGAAAGGGAGAATTAGCGAAAAAGGAGAAAAAGCTGAGGAGAAAGGAGCAGAAAAAGTAGGAAAATGAGCGGAAAAAAACTAATAGACAAACTGTCTAGATAACATACAGTGTGGTACTATGTATTACACTGAAGGCCCAGGTGGGGAACGTTAGAGGCACATGTTTCTGATCCCGACCCAGGTCTCCCGCAGGCAAATAACCTAGGGAAAGGACACCCTCGGTGAGGATGACCTCCTCCCATGACACATGTCGAGTAAACCCTCGAACAGGCATGGGAACACAAAAAAAGGGGAGAACCCTCTAGCCCCCCCCCCCCCCCCCCCCCGACAATAAACAGAAGCATAACACAGTAACAACAGGGTACGAATAAACCAAAAAAAAAATAATAATAAGGGTGCCCAGGACCTCTGAGACTATGGCCGAAGGCGTCCCCGTCCACCACAGCAAACGTCAGCGGTGGAACCCAAGGGCTAGCCCCAAGCCACAGCCCCAGAGCCCAACAAACAACTGGCTTAAGTATAAGGCACAGGTCCAAAAAAGAGCAACCAACAGGTTATATCAAAATCTTGAGGAGAAAGGAGGGGAGAAACTCCCAGTTGACTCGGAAAGAGGATCAGCCTTCTTGGATCTGCTGGGAGGAGGATCTGGAACGTTTCTTCTTCCTGCGATCAGACCACTGCCAGGACGAGGAAAATGGGAGGCCTGGGGTCGGGAGCCGGAAGGGCCAATCCGGGAGGGACACTTGAGGCAACTGGAACACACTGAGAAATGTGGGCCGGTCCCCAGTTGTATGAAATTGTGCTGATTTTCCATTCTGAGAGGCGTGTAGTTGAAATGGGAACCGCCACTGGTAGCAAATCTGCCTCTCCTGTAACATCTGAGTGAGAGGGCGCACGGCCCTGCGCATGGCTAGTGTCTGGCGCAGAGGTCAGGGAGAAGCATCACCGGCACTTCATTGAATAGGATGGTATCCTGCGTGCTAGCTGCATGCATAATGGCGTCCTTGACCCTGAAGTAGTGGACCCTGCAAAGGGTATCACGGACAAAAGATGGATCAGGGTTTCTAGGCCCATCGTGCGATGTACTTGGTCCAGCTCAATAGGGGCGTCTTTGGCCTATTGCAACAATTGGTTGAATATGGCGTTAACCGCTGCAGCCAAATCTTTAGATTCAATGGTATCAGGTATGCCTCGAATCCGTATGTTATTACGGCAGTTCCTGCTCTCAATGTCATCCTGCTGGTACATGAGCTGTTGTATTTAAACCGTGTGGGAGTTAAGGGTCTCTTCATGGGATTGTAAGGCATTACATGGGTCGTCAGTGGTATTTTCAGTCTCTTCCATACGCACGCAAATGTTTTGTTTAAGATCAGAAATTTCCTGCTTGTATGTGCTTTCAATACGTTTCACATACTTCAAAATCTGCCTTTGTAGGGAGAGATTTGAGGTAGGAGTGCAGGGACTGCATGTGGGACTGCAGATCCCAGCCATCCTCAGAGCAGAGAGATGCTGGGGAAGGGCTGCGAGGTGTCTGTGGACCCTGTGTGGCCTGTGGGTGGCTGAGTGGATCCCTTTGTGCAGGGGGGGAGCCCCGGGGGCTTACCTGCCCGTCTTCCTGGAGCTCCGTGTCTTGGGAGGATGAGGAAGGGAGAGGTGCCGGCGCCATCTTGCCTGTCGGGGTGCCCAAGGCCTCGGCCGAGGATCGGGACATATATCTGCTTAAATCGCCATCGGACCGCCCCCCCCCCCCCCCGCAGGTCTCCGGGGTTCCGGCGTTGATTTTTGCCCATGTGGAGGGCGGGAGAGAGCCCGTGGGAGGGAGAAGAGCCCGCAAGGAGATCCGGGCCAGGAGCTATGCAGAAGTGCTGCTATCGCTCCATGCGCCTGGCCACTCCCTATTTACTTGTTTTAAACTACTTTTTTTTTTTTCATGCGTCTTCAGTTGCTTTCTGACTTTCTGGTTTCTAACCTAGGCCAAAATTATACCATACATCCCAAGCGTGTACATGGGCATTTTTTTTTTTCATATTGAGGAGGAGCTTTCTCAGCTAAGCGCACCCTCCTGCCTGCATGCCTGCGCTAAGGGCAGATGGATTCCAGGTAGTAAATGCTACATAAATCATCTGTCCTTGCTCGAGATGTCCATGGCTAGAAATACTGGGGGTGTGTTTTTGAAAAGTTTCTCAACAAAATAATGCACGGAGACCTGGATGGATGGATGAGTTTGTTTTGAATATTAAAAATGAATTAAATAGCATTTTCAGTTTGTGGTAATCAGATACAGTTTAGTTCTGCTTTAAGAATTGGTTGAATGTTGTTGGAAGTACAGTGTTGGACATGCCTAGGCAAAAGTATTTATAATTACTAATACAGGGAAAACATAGCACCGAGATAAAACAAAATCCATTTTAGTGTATATCGTATACCCAACACACAGTTGTAATGGAAGTGAAAAATATTTGTACCTTTACTCCCTATCGAATTAGTCTGCTTTTAAAAAGCTCCACACTTTAGCCTTCTAGTTTTACTTATACATATCTATAAGACTGCTGCCATCAGATTTCAGTGGAATTCTTGATTGGGCTGTGAAGTTGAGCATGATTATCTGATGATTTATTCTTAGGTGTACTCTGACAGCATAGCAGACCTAAATACATATATGATTAAATGCATTCATTGTTGTGCCTGTACCCAGTGACTTTAAAAGTTTTTTTTTTTCATTTTTTGTTTTAGTAGTAGATTTGTAGTGTAGACCAAAATAGTATTTTAATACATAAAATATTTTACATTGTTATTTATGAAGGCATGCTATATCTTTTCATATAGCTTTCTCAGGACTTAACACGTATAAAACAACACTACGAAAGAAAGATGAAAGATTTGGTGGCAAACAAAGTGGGAGGAGTAGAGATCCAACATTTAAAACATAAACATGAACTCAAGGTGATGTAGCATGTCTTTCTCAGTACCCATTAAGTGCATGAACAGTCCACCCTGGTAGTGTTTTTGTGTTGTGTTATTGTGTATTTAGCTTTATATTTTGCTTTATATTTTAGATGCAGAGGCTTATGAAGGCTGCAAAGGAGGGTACGAAAGATGGACTTGAAAAAACAAAGGGCTGCTGTGAAGAAGGGTCGTTCCTACATCAGAACAAAATCCTTTGTTTTGCATGGTACAGTTAGATGACTTGTCATAAGAAAAAAGCATTTGCACACCAGATTGCTGTCCTTAAAAATCCAGTTAGCAGGATTGTTAGCAGTTTGTAATTTAACATTATAGTATAGCCATTATACATGGTAAACTATAACTTTTGCTATTATCTGACTAAACATGGTACAATTGTACAATTTTCTTTAGATCTGGCAACAACTTTAGAACTCAAGGGCCTGCCTGATTACTGATTGGAAAAATAATTTCTTTATATATTTATCATATTACATGTTTTTGCTAAAATCTAAAGAAGATTGTACAGATTGTAATGTGTATGGCCATTTTAGCAGCAGCTGTTACAGGGTTTCTGCAGTTATCCTAATAGCAAGAAACCGATGTCACTGTAACTGGACAGAAGGTGGTTGGGGCCCAGTAAAAAATTCAATAGTTTGAGGAAGCGGCCAAAGTAGCTCTAATAGGTAATAATATCAATGATTATAACATTAATAATACCACATCTTAGGGTACATGATTACTCAAGACTTTACTTGTAAAAGTTTAAAATGCCTGACAGGTGTAATTTACATTATAGATGACAAAATATAAATTTTAATGCATTAATAAGGTAATTATGAAATATTTCTTATTAAGATTTTATATCCATTATTTGAAGCCATCAGGTGGTGCTGTAAGCAAGTTTAGGTAGTATCTAAAATCTCAAGATACAACTGCTCTGCTATACAGAGACCTGAAGTCACAGGGGATTGGCACACCCAACTCTGCAAGAAAAGATAGCACATCCTTAAATAATGTGATTAATACAAATTAGCAAAAAGCATAAAAGCAGTGCTGGACTTTTCTTATTAGCAACCCCAGCACTTCTTCGAAAGCACATGTCTATGTATACATCTTGAATGTTTATTGTACAATGCTATGCAGATGACTTAAAAATAATAAACACAACAGCATATAAATGTATAGGTTAAAAAAAAAAATTACAGTAATAATATAATACTTCAGTTTCTTTGTAAACTTTTTTACATTATCATCTTTTTCTTGTCCAACGTAACATTTTAGGATGACTTGCAAATAATGTAAGACCATTATACAGAATGGAATATTTTTTGAGGGGAGGGTATGATTAAATGACCAACTTTTCCATTTTCATCCCTTGAAATATCAAATAAAAAAAAGGGTCAACATTTAACATATTTGATTTTGTGGTTTAGATCGTAAATCTGCCTGCCTTGAAGATGAAGATTTGAATGTGTTCATAGATGTGGACTGTGTACATGCAGAGGCAGTTATGTCTCCTATGCCAGAAGGATTAAGTCAGCAGCAGGTAATATTTTTTGTTTTTTTTGTTTTTGTATTTAATTTTGTAAGTTTACTTAAAACAACGTTTCATATTCCTGATTCTCTGTACCCTGGGCCAGCGCTACCACTAGATGAACTAGGCAGCCGCCTAGGGTGCAGCTACCTGGGGGGTGCTGGGATGGGCTACGCTGTAGGATTTGTGCTAAAGGAGGGGGGGGGGATTTGGGTAAATTGGGAGGATTTTATGCTGGGAAGGGTAATTTGGAGGGGTGATAGCTAGAGGAGGGATTTGGGGGAATTTGTACTAGGTGGTGATATTGAAAGAAGAGGGTTGTGCTGGGAGGGGCGATTCGTGCTAGGAGGAGGGATTGGGGGGGGGGGGGGAATTTGTGCTAGAAGAGGGGATTGGGGGGATTTGTGTTAGGAGAGGGTATGGGGGGGATATGGGGAGGATTTGTGTTAGGAGGGGGGATGGGGGGATTTGTGCTAGGAGAGGGTATGGGGGGGATATGGGGAGGATTTGTGTTAGGAGGGGGGATGGGGGATTTGTGCTAGGAGAGGGTATGGGGGGGGGGGATATGGGGAGGATTTGTGTTAGGAGGGGGGATGGGGGGGATTTGTGCTAGGAGAGGGGATGGGAGGTTGTGCTAGGAGGGAGGATGGTGGGGGGATTTGTGCTAGGAGGGGGGATTTTAGGGGAATTTCTGCTAGAAAAGGGGATGGGGGGGATTTGTGGTAGGAGAGGAGGATGAGGGGAGGGGGGTTGTGCTAAGCGGGGGGATTAGAATGGGGAGAAAGGATTTGTGCTGGGAAGGGTAATTTGGTAGGGGTTGTGCTAGGAGATGGGATTGGAGGGATTTATGCTAGGAGAGGGGATTTGGGGGAGAGGATTTGTGCTAGGGTATAACATTTAAGGGAAAGCGGATGTGTTCTAGGTGGGGTGAAATAGAACTACAGGTGAATTTTATTTATTTGGGGGGGGGGGGGGTGTAAGATGCAAGAAGTCTTACACCAGCCCTGGCTATACCATGTACTTGTATAAAAGGTATCATGTTCTTTTTTCATTCCTTCCTTTGTGTGAAATACCTGGTGTTCCTGCCAATCCCCCTGATATCCTGGGACAATGAGATACAGATGACAAAATGAACTAACACAGGTTAAACTGCTTCCTCACTCTATCCAAAATGGAAAAAAAAAGGAGAATCCTGCTAAAGGAGACTCTTAAATAAGTATCTCTTGCTATTTTTTTTTTCTTGCTCTGGTCTCTTTAGGTACACAGTACATATAGCACTTTGTCCCATCTATGTGCTGGGGAAGCCAAGTTTCAGTGAATGACTATGCCTCCCTCACTACTTTCCAACCACACTAAATCAAAGAGACAAATAGGTAATGAAGGATGATTGATGGTGCTTACCTGAGATAAGCGCCATAACATTTGATGCAAGGATGGGGTGTGTCACACAAGCACTTTGCAGCAGAGGTGCACTCATTCATGTATATAATGTGTGCTTACTACAGCAGGAATCAGTGGCAGATGTGCTCTGCCCCAGTGACATCCAAAAAATCAGTCATCTTTATGGGGAAGAGCAGAGAAGCATGAAGTTAATAAAAAATAATTGATTTTTTATAGCAAGAAATTATTGTATTTCTTAATATGAAAGGTATTTGCACATGCTTTTCTGGGCACCTAGTTTATTTTAAATGACAAAGTTTTCCTTTAATACTTATCTCTGTGTGGACAGTGACAGCGGTATTCAAGGGCTATGACCTCCAACAAAATCCCTAGCATTTACCACTTCAGGGAGTGTTTGATGCCTGCATTACCCACTACATGCTGTGGTATCATCTGCTTGCTCCATGGTCACTACAGGACTCAACTGTGACATAGGGGGAGAGCAGGAGAAACCACAGCAGGGGACCAGCAGGGGACCAGACACACCCAAACGTGTTGGCTGCTGAAGATTCTGCAGGGGGTGTACATAAAATATGCTAAATTGCAGATTCTGCCTTCATTTCCTGAATATATGCTGCCTAACTGGGTGCAGTATATTGATCACTGGAGGCTGCACAAAGTTCCTGGCTGCTTTTTTTGCTCCAGGAGGAAAAATGAAGGGACTCCAGACGGTAAATACAATTCAGAGTGATTTATTTTTTTCCATAAGCAGCAAAAATGTATTAAATCATATTCTAGTCTGCTGTACTGTAAAATACTGGAACCTTTCCAATCATTTTGGTATGTAATAGGTTGAAAAAGGTATGCAAAATATTGCATCAGACAGAACCTTGTTGTCATTTTTGCAGGCTGCCTGCCATCTAGTGGCCATTTGTATTCCCAAAATGGCATAACAGGCTTTTAAAGTGGTTGTAAACTTGATTCTCCACACAAGGTAATATCATAATGTGCTAGTATGCATCGCATACTAACACATTATGAAGGACTTCCCTTAGAACGAAGCCCTCCAGCTGTGTGCTGTCACCATTGACAGGGCTTCCATCTTCACCCAGTCTTCCTTCCGGGTTCATGGGTTCTGGCCGCTTGATTGGCTGAGCCGTGATGATGTCACTCCCGTGCATATGTGTGGGAGCCGCGGCACAGAGCTCTGAAAGAATGGCATGGAACAGCTATTCCTTCAGTGCGCATGCAATGGTGACGCCAGCGGCTTCAGGGACACTGAATATCTCCTAAATGTTGAACGTTGTACATACAGGTAAGCTTTATTATAAGTTTACCTGTAGGTACAAGTGTCCAGTGTGGGTTTACTCCTACTTTATGATATGTACTTGGCTACAATTTTATATGTTGTTGGGTATGTAAATTCATAATATTTAACAGATCCATTTTTCTTGCTAAAATGTAGGGTTGGCAGCACATTATTTGGAGCCCTGAACCTAAGACGTTTTTGTTTTTATATCCTTTTCTTCCCAGTTTTGATATATATGTAAAATCTGAAACAAAGTGATAATAAAGGCAGATTTTTAAATGTTTTAAAAAAAATAACAAACATGTCATATTTACCTGCTCTGTGCTATGGTTTTGGACAGAACTGGACCAATTCTCTTTTTGCGTCACCCTGCCAGTGTTCTGGGCTTCTACCCTCGCTGAGTTCCCATGATAGCAAGCTGCTTGCTGTGGGGGCAATCATGCATGCTCACTCCTGAGCTGCTTTTGTTTGTCCATAAGACACAGAGGTGGATTTACTAAAACTGGTTCACTCAGAATCTGGTGCAGCTGTACATGGTAGTCAACCAGCTTCTAACCTCAGTTTGTTCAATTTAGCTTTGGCAGTAAAACCTGGAGGCTGATTGATTTTTGTGCAGAAGTGCACTTGATTTTGCACTCTCTAGCTTTAGTAAATAAACCCCACAGAGTGCAGCTTTGGCCCACCCCCTTCTCACTGGCTGTGATTGACTGCTGTGTCTGACCAAATGAAGAGAGAGAGAGCCAAGTGAGCCTCTACTCCTGCATATCGCTGGATTGAGGTCAGGCTCAGGTAAGTATTTATGTGAGGCTGGTTGGGAGGGGGGGATGCATGCAGAAGGCTTTTTACCTCCTGTTTCTACAACCACTTTAGGTCTAGGTTTACACTAGTGTTGCTGCATAATCTTGCATTTATAGTGCATTTTTGTAGCACATTTTTGATGCTTTTTCATGTTTCTCGCATGTTTTTTTTTTTTTTTTTTTGTAGGGGAGACTGGTTGTTAGATACAAAACCCTGCCTAAAGCGCATCAAAAAAAAACACATGCACATGTTTGTTATGCATTTTTCATACATTCATATTAACCCCTTCACACCGACGTCAGACAAATATGCGGCCTCACAGAACTGGGCTTTTTTCCTTGGGGCCACATATTTGTGTACCTGTCTTTGTGCTGGGAGCGTGCCGCAAAAAGACCAGGGTGTCACTGAGAGCCCCAGGTCCCATTCTAACGAATGTGACTTCAGACCCCCGATTCCAGGTCACATGATCACTGTGATAGCCTCTGATTGGCTATCACAGTGATTAGTCACTGTGAGGCCCCCCCCCCTTGTTTTTTCTTTCCTCTCTGAATGGAGGAGAGAGATACATTGTATCTCTCTCTCCTTGCAGAGAGGGGAAAAAAAACAAGGGGGGGGGGGGGGCTTCACAGTGACTAAATATGTAAATATTAAAAAATACATAAAAAATACCTAGATCAAGGTTTGATCTAGTTCAGTGCCAGGGTTAGTGTTTGGATCAGGGTCAAAGGTCAGGATTTTTTTTTTCTAATTGGTGTCAGTGTGTTTTAGGTAAAAAAAAAAACAAAATAACAAAATGCACGCTATTGTTTCTGGGCTGTAGTACAGGTACACACAACAAATAACATACACATATATGGTATCGCTGCAATTGTCAAGAGCAGGAAAATATATTCTGGGTTGTTCTTTATGGAGCAACAAAAAAGACACAGCTTAATTTAAAAAATATATATTTTTTTATTATTTTGGGCCAGTTTTCCTTTGATATTAAAAAAAATCAGGAGATATCCATTACCATTTGCCACAAAATAAAAGCCCAATTTGTCCTGAAAAAAACAAGGTATAATTCCTAGATTGTAAGCTCGAAAGAGCAGGGCCCTCGAACCCCTTATGTATCACATTGTATTGTTTTCGTACTGTTGCATGTTCTGTCTCCCTTTGTAAGGTACAGCGCTGAGCGAACTGTTGGCACTTTATAAATACTGTATAATAATAATAATTCACCTGGCTGTACAAAGTAGCTGTGATGATATGTACGGTTTTACTAACACATATCAAAGTTGTAAAATTTTACTTAGGCTTTAATATTTGTTTTACCCTTAGGCATGAAGGGGTTAAAGTAAAAAATGTACTATGCTGCACCAAAAGAAGCACCTGCACCTTTTCAAAAATTGCTCTGCACCATGTTGCATTGGTGTGAATGGACAACAAAGAAGAATTTGATTTCCATTGTTGTGCATTGCAGTACGACAGCAGACACAGGAGAAATTACACTAATTTAATCAGAGACTAAAGTAGATTTTTTTTT